GTGAAGCCAAAAATTCAACATGAATAAATGATGATCTTCTATTATTTTTTTAAAGTTCTTGTTTGTATCAGAATCCCATGCCTCTCTACAGCTTTACTTCTCCCTTCCAGGTCTTATGAACTTTCTAAGGGGTGCCAGCTTCACAGCTGGGCAACTCCAATGAATCTGAGCGTATCTATGTACACACAAATTTTACTGAAATCTACAAGATATACCATAAGTCATTCTAAAAATGACTGGAAATAGGTTTTGGTCAACAATTATAGGTGTGCAACTAATATTAATGTGATGTCCTTGCTACTAATAGAGTTTACCATTCAGACAAATTCCATGCCAGGCTTTTATGAGAACTGGTACATTGGTTCATGCCAGTAATCCCAGATCAGCATTCTTATCTTTAATAGTACTCCAGATGCTACTGGCAGTTTATGAGGTCAGAATACAATCTTCATCATCTTTGTGTTTGTTTTCACAACCTGGCAGTCAGAGGTAAACAAAAAGTGAGTGATGTATTTTTGGTTACTATGGAAAGCAACCACTAACAGACTTTTCCACCATGTATTTCTAAAATACATTTATACCAGAGGACATCACAATATCCCATGACAATTCAGAAGACGTCACATAGTTGAGTATTTACAAAGCCACTGGAGACATCAGAACGTACATTCTGAGTCTGTGTATATCCTATGTGAAATTAAATCCTCTCATCTAGGGCACTGTACCACGGAGTTCAAATGACTTCAGCTGAGTGGTTTGAGATAATTTTACTGGAACAGATGACGTTTGCTGCTTATAATGTAAGATGAAACCCTGAGCACATCCTTAATCTTTAGCTGTCTGTTAAGAGTATACTGTTACTGTTTCATGATATAGTTTCACAATATAATGCTTTAAAAAAAACCACCAGCAAATCCACTCTACATTTCACTGATTTTCTCCTCTTAATTTTATGAAATTATTTTCTATTATTTCTTGTGGAAAAGGCCTTTTTTCTGATGGTCAGGCAAACAAATAGTAGGGATGTTCATTTGGTTCAGATGAACTGACCCCCCCCCATACACATTATTCGACCCGCTGAAAGTCGAATCAGTTTTGGCTGGCTGAACAGGGATTCCCTGAATGGATGCCATATATATGGGCAAGGGGAAGGCAGGGGAAAGTATTTAAATGCCTCCCCGGTCCTTCCAGAGCTTTCCCCAGCTCGTCTACCTTGGCAAGCGAGCCAGGGAAGGCAGGGGGGCCCTGCAGGCCTTCTCCAGCTCGCCGAGGCATTTAAATGCCTCCACACACCCTCCCGGGCCAGGGAAAGCAGGGTGGGCTAGCTTGGGGGGCAGTGGGCTCCTTTCACTGAAGGGAAGGCAAATTGTCTGGCATCTTAGTGGAGCAAGAGATGCTTCAGAAACTGCCAGAGAGCATCACCTTTGAGTTTGCAAAGAGCCCCCTTTTGGAAATAGCAGCCCCATAACAGTAGGATGCTTGAATCGGGATTTCCCAACCATTCATAATTGCTCCATGACATCCATTTTAGCGTAGCAGCCTGGGGTTGGCAACTCTAAACACATAGTATCA